AATTTTAATAACTTGTGAGTACCTCCCTGCCTTCAGCTCACTTGAAAACCCTGGATGAGGTAGATTTAAGAAAGACAACTCTGAAGAGCTCAGGAAACTTTTAAAGCATATACAGAGGTGCCAAATAAACGTGTGTGGTTAGAAAGCGAAGGCAAGAGATCACTTGAGTCTCAGATTTTTATCTCTGTTCTACTTAATTCTTACTCTTGTCTTTGCTGACCTTTCTTGGGTTTGTGCCACTGTATTTGTTCCATTTTGTTGCATGTTACTTGATTCATTCCTCTGTGGGCACCTTATTATGTAGTATCTGTTAGTAAATGCAACTTTCCCTCTCCTCAGCTACAAGGGGACACTGACAGAATCTTTTTCCATGTCTTTATTTCATTTCTGACCTTACAAGATACCTTCTCAGGAAAACCTTTGATTAAAACTTAGCTCCAGAAAAATATTCACTTGAAAGAAAAGTGCAAATGAATTGTTTGCTGAATGTACTTCTGATACTATTGTTATAACAGTGTTATAACAGTGTATACTTATAACAGTTAACAGTATGTTTGGCATATCTGGATAATAAACCTGATACTATTGTTATAACAGTGTTATACTTTGAACTCCTATGGCATATCTGGATAATAAATGTCCTAGAGATCTGTGACACTTGCAGTGTAATCCCTGTTTTGTCACATGCCTCTGGCAAAACGACTTCTATGACTTGTCTCACCGCACTCAGAGAGCACCAGGACAGTGTGGGCACCTGAGCTGTGGCACATACTAATTCTCAGCTGCCAGGCAAGGGAGGACCCTCAGCTGCCCTGCCAACCAGCCCACTTAGTTCATCCAGGGAGCTGAGAGCCTAGGAGGCTGCACAACCAGGAGCAGCACCTTCTGCCCCAAGGAAATACACGTTCTGAGACAACAGTGGATGATACATTGCCAAGAAAGAGGAAGGTTTGGGGAAGTGGTGGGTGCCAGATGGGGACAAATGAGTGGGAGAGCTGAAGTTCTTCAGTAGGAAGAAGAGACAGGTGGGGATACTACTGGAGAACAATGAATAGTGGATTGGTACTTAATAGTATGTTTATATAAGATACTGTATGAGAGTGGAGAAACGGAGGTGGGCTGCTCAAATGAGATAGGAGCCACAGAGGAATAAGTGGGATCCAGCTCATGGAAGCGGGAGGTGGGTAACATGACAGTGGACAGCTATGCTGTGGCAGAAAGGAGGGCAAGATGTGGTCTAGTATTCATATAACAAAGTTTTCCCCAGTCATTATAAACTGTAAGAGGCTGTGAACAGGAATCTGAAGCCCTCTTTGCTCTAACTGATCCATATCAGCAACAGCCTGACAAGGTTGGGTAGGAGAGCATGGCAGATTCACACCAGCACATTTTGAAATCATCAGTGCAACAAAAGTTTGGCCTGGGCTGAGGCTGAATTCTAGCCAGTCTCCCGGTGTGTCCTGTGTTTGAGACCTTAGCTCCTGGCTAACGATGGGCATTTTTCAAATCCTTTGCATAGCCAAGCACTTCACAGGTGTGCTAACCACACAATTCTGATTCTTCTATTTTAGCTATCCTGACTATCCTTGGAAATTCAGCGGTCCTTGCTACAGCTCTGAGGCGCTCTTCGCTCCTGAAGTCACCGGAGCTGCTCACAGTAAATTTGGCAGTTGCAGATATCGGGATGGCCATCAGCATGTACCCCCTGGCTATTGCATCTGCCTGGAACCACGCTTGGCTGGGAGGAGATGCGTCCTGCGTGTATTATGCCCTGATGGGTTTCCTTTTTGGTGTGTGCAGCATGATGACCCTGTGTGCGATGGCTGTGATTCGATTCCTTGTTACCAATTCATCCAAATCTAACAGTAAGTCATGAATTACCTCTTTGGTACCCTAGTAGTGGTACATTTGGGCTGTATTGCTCAGAGAGGCACTCTGTTGCATATGGCATACAGTACCAGTTCAATAACTTTAGGTCTAAACAGCAAATTTCTAATGTTCCTAGAAGGATTGATTAAATTCCTTATTCAGCAAAACATTCAGGCTCTTCTCTCTATACTTACATGAAAAAAACTGTCCAAAGCTGGAGAGTCTGGATGTTCTTCCTATTCATCTGCAAACTGACATATTGAAACTTAAAAGGAAGGAGAATGCTCTCCTGGTGTTCCTGGGCTGGGAGGTGTTTTTGTCAGCTTGATCTTGCAAAGCTGCCTCCCTGAGCAGATTGCAGATAGGCACACAGGGCTGCCCTCAGGTCTCAGCTGATCCAGCTGATCTTTCTAAGGAGTTTCCCAAGAAGACTTATGCCTGTATAGCCTGTGACACTTAGTGTGGGTAAAGGTTCTGTTCTGGACCTCAGAAACTGTCAGCTCAGGTCTCCCTGCCTCATAGGCATTTATATCTACCTGTGATGTAACAAGAAGCATCCAGAGCCCTTCTCCCAGATTATCCACAGTGGAGACCTATTAAGAGCATGATACAGCTTCCATATGCTCCAAACACCTGCAATTTTCATGGTGATTAAGGTCTGATAAAGTCTGAAAGTTGATGCATATCCAATATGGAACTGGGTTATAGCTGAAATGTTCAGTGACACTCAAGAAATGTTGACTGCTTCCCAGTCAGGCAGTCAGTCAGGTATTATAATCCGTGCTATTATATACCTTTGCTTACCATGCTTATATACCCTTGAAAAGAGGTATTACATACATACCCTTGAAAAGAGGTATTACATACATACTATTACATACCTCTTTTCTGCATTTTTGACAGTAGTATTAAGAGATGACAGTAGTATTAGAGATTGGTATATGGATGCACAAGGTTCTTAAGGGTGAGAAAAGTGAGTCCACACGCCATCCCTCACACACCCACACCGACAGACGAAGCAGGGAGGTTTCCAGTCATATGAGCTGGTAGCAGCACACCTTCCCATCTAGAGCATGGGTCCATCCAGTCCTCTGTGTGTGTAAACATTAGCACAATGGTGCTGCAGCATTAGAAGGAATAATATGACATCGTTATGAAGATACTGCTCATTTATAAGGCATATCTAGTCCTTTAAAATGATGCAACACCTGAAAACTTGGCAGTATTAAGCATAGCACTATATTTTGATGAGTTTTGAGCTGCTGGAAGAGTACATTGGGAATAGTGCAGTTGCAATATCTATAAATTGAGCCTTCGTCATTGACTGGCAGCTGTTGATCCAATGGTTGGGGAACTGCAGCAGAAGTACAGCCATCCTGCTGGAGAACAGGTTATGCCTCAAACTGTGCAGTTGAGGTGAGATCCATGCAGACTTGTGCTTCCTCTTTCTTGCAGGTAACAAAATCACCAAGAACACTGTTTGCATCGTCATTACTGTCATCTGGCTCTACTCCTTGCTCTGGGCCATTCTGCCTTTGATAGGCTGGGGCTACTATGGCCCTGAGCCGTTTGGGATCTCTTGTACAATAGCCTGGAGCAAATTCCACAACTCCTCCAATGGCTTTTCCTTCATCCTGAGCATGTTCCTCCTGTGCACAGTCCTGCCCGCACTGACCATTGTTGCCTGCTATTTGGGAATTGCCTGGAAGGTTCATAAAGCGTATCAGGAGATACAGAACATTGACAGGATTCCTAATGCAGCTAAACTGGAGAAGAAGCTGACTTTGGTGAGTTATCCAGGAGAGTCTGCAGTAACCAGGAGCTCACAGGGAACTGGCTGTGCTCATGCATAGCCCACGGTGACCTTCACTGCTTTTGTCTAGGATCAGCCCAAGGTGGGGACGGGCTCCAGGCTCATCCAGACTCTGAGTACTCTACTCAGAGTAGCAGAGGGTTCTTGGTAACCTCGATATTTCAGTAGCTTAATGACAATGGGTAAGATATCCTAGATATCATGCAGACTACTAAACATTCTTTAGAAGTTGCACACACAATTTGCAACTTTATATATACACATTATATACATTTATATATATACATATATAAAAATAATAAACATAAATATATTCAGTTGCTCATTTGCTTTGTAAATTCAAAAATGTCCCAAGTTTTCTATTGGCCACTCTACTTGATAAGATGTATTTTCTGGTGGGATGATGTCTCCCATGACATAATGCAGCCAGAGCCAAGGAAGGAGATAAAAATGATAGTTCCCTCGTAGGAATCTTCTGTGTAGACTTGCTAGATGGGCATTAGAGAATATAAGCACTCTCTGGAGTTACCTATGCTTATGTCACAACACAGAGAATACACTGTTTTGGGTATTTTATCAATTTAAAGTGTGGTTTCATCCATACACCATGTGCCTCCTGTTTCCCTTTCAGATGGCTGTACTCATCTCCGTTGGGTTCCTGAGCTCCTGGACACCGTATGCAGCAGCCAGCTTCTGGTCCATATTTAACTCCAGTGATTCCCTACAGCCCATCGTTACACTGCTGCCCTGTCTCTTTGCCAAATCTTCAACAGCATATAACCCTTTCATTTACTACATCTTCAGCAAAACTTTCCGCCACGAAATTAAACAACTGCAGTGTTGCTGTGGCTGGCAAGTTCGTTTCTCCAGCACCGACAACTCTGCTGAAAATCCTGTGTCAATGATGTGGAGTGGGAGAGACAACGGACGTCTCTCTCCAGCTGCAAAGGTGGAAAACCAGGGAGCCCCAGCTCACTGAAATGTAGTCAAGGTTCCAGAACACAGGTCAAAACCTGGACTCCCTCGTGAGTCTGAATGAATAGGGATGCAGCACATGGGGTGGCCACCGCATATCTTATGTCAAATACTCAAATTTCAGCACATATTTAAGTATATTTTAAGTATATATATTAAGCATATATTTTAAAATAACACCTGATGATTATTTTTAAGCTATGCAACAGAAAAGATTATTTTTTTCCAAGAATTTCCACTTTATAAAAAAATAGATAGATTTATGTCCTAAATAAAACCATTATAAGCTTTGGTGCCACTTATTTTCAGGAAAACAACTGCAACTACCAAAGAAAATGAATTATTTTTGTATTCTTTTCTTCTGCTTTTCACTTTCTGGTATAATCTACCTGCAAACTCTTAGCTCTGTCACTAAAACACCCGTCAGACAAAACGGTAGGTTGAACACAAGGTGCTAGCAAATGAATAAGACTGAGAATGTAGCTCTCAACAGTATGGGCAGAAAACCATATGGGTCACAGGAATATTCACTGCCAGGAAAACTTGTTAAGTAGCTGGTCTCAGGATGTCTCAAAGAGATATCCTGTTCCTTGCTCCAGCAAAGGCAGTGTACCAGCTCCGCACATCCTAAGCTGGATGTGAGGAGTTTATAATGTGGCACAGCTGGGTATAACATGCCAGAAAGCTGCCGGTTTGGTTTGAAACATATTTACAACCACAGGATCATACTGCTACCCCATTTTCACAAGAGATTCTGAGGTGGAAATGGTTAGATCTACAGTTTAAATCTCTCTCTGTCTTACTGTTTGATGCTAAAGGGCACAAGGACAGCTCTAATTTCGAAATATGGATGCTGTACAACATATCGCTTCATAACTAGGTCTTGCTTTCACTGCTCACTCAGCTGAACACATCTGTCTTTGCTAAAGGTGCAGTGAAGATGGAGGAGTTAAATGAAAGGCAGATTTGACACAGATTTTTAACAAAAATCTGAAATAACGGAGAACACATTTAGAATTCTCAAAAACTTCTCTCACTCTCAAACCCTAATAATTAGTTTTATTGCCATGAACTATAGCTGAGGCCAGGAATAGGATTAAGACAGCATTAAGCACTCTGTGGAATATAACATGCTGGGAAGGGGGCTGTTATGGTAAATGACTATTATTTTTGCTTTTGAGTTAAAAAATAATCTGATATGAAAACGAAGCTTTTTTTAATAATCATATCTCAGTTTTTGCTTTAACTGGCTCAGCTGCTTGATGTTTAAAAGAAACAGCAACACATACATTTTTACCTGGTAATTGCAGATTGTGAAAGGAACAATGGCATGTATGTTAAAAATGTAATATGAGATTCCCTGGTGAAAACCTAGAGCAGAACAGCTACACACCCTCACACAAACGCTTTTAAAGGAGGTGTCTGCAACGTAGAAAATATGCCACTCTATAATACATACAAAATTTCTGTAAAACTGAAAGATCTGTATTTTGCTAATGTTTAAGACAATGTTTTAATGGCTTGATTTATTACCTATATACTTATTTTTAAAAGTCTTTGTGTAAGAAATATGACTCAAATCTCTTTTTTCCTTGTCTAGACTCAATGAGGATCAAATCTGAATTTCCCATGGGAGACTGTGCATTTTAGATGTTTTTATAATACACAGACAAAAAAAAAAGAGAGACAAAGGAAGGCTCCCCTTGGGGCAGAGAACTAGGCCAGGGGATTAGTCAGTTTTTGTTAAGTCTCATCAAGTTGATTTACAGTCCAATTATCATTCAGAATTCATGGTATTTCCTATCCAACCCTGGACTGTGTTGTCAGCTAAGTGATGTTCTAGACGCTGAAGCACTTAGGGGTGAATCCACACCCTAATGTTCACAATGACCAGCACAATCATCTCATGATATAAACATTTAAGGTAAAAAGTTCAAAACATCTAACCTGATCACATTAGAGGTAAGAGTTACCTGACCAAGCTGCAGCAGTTTGCAATGCAGACATCCATATCTGAGCTAGTCACTTTTAGTTCCTTTTGCAATTCATAGGAAGGGATTAGTAGTTAGCAATCCATAGTTACGGATCAATTCCTCATCGGATAGACAGGTTGAAATGTGCCCTAGAAGTGCTGATTTATTTCCTTTGAGGATAAATGGTGATGAGACATGAAGTTAGTTAACATAAATACCACCCTGGCTTGCATGAAAGTGAAGTGGAATTCACTTTATTTTGAGAAGCCTTCTAAGCAGCCTTCTGTCCACGTAGGCTCAGAAATCCCTTACAGATCTAGCCCACTTCAGTTTTCTTTCCCTACCCATGCAGCAGAGAGGGTCTTGTTGTTCATCACTGCAAAGCAGAGATTATTTGATAAAAAGCTAAACAGAAGTGTAAAAGCAGTAACACTGAAGGTGTGAAGCACTGAGAATGGAAAATGGACTACATTCCCCTTACAATGTTTTGCTCTCTGCAAGATCAAACTACTATGTTCTGCAAGCTACTCTTCAACTGAAAGTCAAGAGGAAAGTTTGTTTTGCAATTAGGTCACTGGCCTGGGATTTGGTACTGCACTCAAAATTCCTGCTTTTTCACAGCTTCTTTCCATAAGGGTAATGCACTGAGGCAAGGTAATTTCCATCTGTAAATCAGATGCCTTCCTCCAGCCTCTTGGCCTGTCTTCATCTTTAGGTGTTTTTAAAATATAAATCGCCTAACATATACAGCAAGATCTATTGCTTTGGAACTAGTATGACCATCGACTGTCTGACAAATAGTGACCTGCTTTTCATTCTTAGTGAGAAGATCTGAGTGACTAGTCACATGCCCTGTAATATATCAAAACATTCACATGTAAAGAAAAATTCCAGTATATTTGCAATTATGTACTTGCTTTTGCCAATTCTCATTGGAATGAACAAGAGTAGACTTAAAGCAGTCAGTAATGAAGACAGCCAGAGATTTGACTTGATGACCATAAAATTGTTATCCAAGAGTACTCACAACCTGACATTAATTTATCAGTAGCACTACATTCATGCTACTCCAGCAGCAAATATATGGAAAAACACAATAGATTTTAGCTTGCCATAACGAATCGCTACCTAGGCAGTGAAGTGATGGCTAGCTTAAAGAAAAGTTCACTCAATTACTTTTTTTTCCCCCCTTAAAAGACCTAATGCAAATATTGCATGTGAAAGCCCTGATGAGAAAACTACATTTTTTTTTTCCTTGATTCACCATTTTCTTTTCCCACTTTGATATGACAAGACAGAATCAATGTACTTCAGTCGCTCCTAATCTTCTACTTTAAATGTCCCCCCCTTGAACATTAAAGGCCTGCAGCGATTCCAATTGAAGTTGGTGGGAACTTTTTATTGAACTCAAAGGGAACACAATGCTGATTTTAAAGATTATTAGAATTTTAGAGTTTTTAAAAAAGAATCTGTAAGGCAAGTCTCTCTAAATGATATACATTACCAAAGAGTGCAGAAGCCATAAACAGGAAGAAACAGATAAAACTAAAGTCATAACAAAGTTTAGAGGTCAAAAACACTTTGACTACATCTTTTCCAGTTGGCTGGCAAGACAGGTTGGTCTTGTGCAAAGATAGAACATAGTATTTTTACTGCTGATGCTACTGTGTCTTCTGATTTCAACCATAGCAACATGCCCTGAATGAGATGCTAATAAATAATCAAAGATAAAACCTCATGGAGTTTTAAAGACAAAGATTTGCTTAGGTGTCAATACTGTCAACTTTAATTAGAAATACAAAGAGAAGAACACAGCAAGCCAATTAACCTGTTTAGTTCTGAGCAATGTGAGAGTACGAGCACAGATGCTTTCCTAAGGAAGCTTCTTTTAATTAAAGATCTCATCAGCTGCAATCCTTGAAGGGAGGGCAAGATGCTATTGACTGGATGTGCTAATTCAGCCAACTGCAGAAAATCTCACTTTATGTAAAGAATGATGGTGCTGAGCCTCTCAGAAGTGCACTACATGCTCTTTCATGGCAGCTATGTGAGTGTTATCACATAGAGGCTTTAGTATTTTATGAGGTGACACAATGAGCAACGAGGCAAAATGAAATGAAGGAGGGTAAGGGACTGACCCCAGCAGACCCTCACACCTTTGTTTCCTTTCTAAGGATACCACAAAGGATTTTGCCCTACTCTTTGCCTTTTACATGTATTAATTCAATTCCTCATGGAAGGAAGATAAAAATGGTGAAAAAAATCACTGATGTGAAGAGTCCAAATGCTAAGTATATTGGAATAACAAGAGCAATACTGGACACTAGCACAGAATTGAGAGAGATGGAAGGAAATTAACTCAATTTAAGGAAGACGACAGCATCAGGAAAGAGCAGCAATGTACACAGGCCATCGCTGCACAGCTGCTTCTGTATGGATAACTGCCAGATACAGGATTTGTATCCTATCAAACAAAATATGAACTTTGAAACACTACGGTTTATTTACTTGGACCTTTCTAAATGAGATGAGTCAGATTAACACTAAGATCTAAGTGTTGTAGGAGTCAATCACGTCTCTGCTGAACTTTAGTGATTTTGGCTGAAGACTTCTATCTCTAAAATGTCTGTCTAATATATGATTCCAACATTTCAAAAGTAATTCATATGTAAAAGGGATCTATGGAATAACCAAACAGCTGAAACAGTTATTTTATTTAGCAGTACACATGGGAAAAAAAAAAACACAAACCCATTTATTAAGTTCCCTCCATAGTTCTAGAGATAAAATTTTTATGTGGATACATACATAAATAATCTTCAAATAGAACAAGCCATAGAATTAATAACTTTCTTAGAAAGCACATAACACCATGCCACTGGGCAGTGGAACCAAAGGTATGTGGCTGGCCAACTCTTGCTGATGATTAGAAGCAATTGCTATAAGACTGGTTGAATTGTGCGAAATTTCAGCATTACAAAGATTGCTGCCTCTTATCCAGGCACTTCTCAATATTATCGAGCACTTGGACAGCTGCTTTTGGAATACGAGTCCCTGGACCAAACACACTGGTCACGCCAGCTTCGTAGAGGAAGTCATAATCCTGTTCAAAAGAAATTTAAGATCTATAGTTAATATTGCAACAGAAAATTGACTATTGCAGTAGGTGTGTGCCCAATCCCATATGCTGGGCCTGAGAAAGCATTTCCATCACCTCTCAGTGAGGGCATGACAACATCAAGGGAAACAGAAAGAAAAAACAGTTAAGAAAAAAGAAATACTAAAAAAGCACCAGCAGGAAAGATTTCACCTGTTTAGCATCAGATTAATGGCAGATCCTTGAAGATATTCAATAAACAATTGGATGTGACACTGAACTAACCAAGTGAACTTTCATGAGAGGAGATAGTCTTTATCAGTAACACACAAAGTACTGGTAATCAGAAACAACCGAGTATAAAGAATATCTCCTCTGAAGCTGGTCTTTATTCAACACAACTTAATATTCCAGCCAGCAAACACTGTTAAACCAGGACAGGGTGTACAAGAAGACACATCGATGAGAGCTGACAGCACTGTGACCATCCTGCAGATCTATACTGACCCTGGTGAACACACACAGCACCTTTCAACAGTGTAACTCGACTCTGGCATATAGGAAATAGCTAAAAATGGCAGAAACTGAAATAAAGCAGTCTCCTGGTTTTCATGGAACTGGATATTGACCTTACCTGAGGCGGGATGACGCCTCCACATATGACAAGAATGTCTGGGCGGCCCAGGGCATTGAGTTCTTTGATAAGCTCAGGCACAAGAGCTTTATGACCTGCTGCCAGGGTGCTCACACCAACACAGTGCACATCTGCATCGACCGCCTGCTGGGCCACTTCTCGAGGTGTCTATTTAAAAGAGGAATTAAATTACAGATCACATTTAGGCTCAACCTGGTTGCTGAGCAAGCATCACAGGGAGAATCCCTGCATTCAGAATACACTGAAATGGACATGGTTAATTCAGTCATACCTGGAAGAGGGGACCTATGTCCACGTCAAAGCCAATGTCTGCAAATCCTGTAGCAATAACTTTAGCTCCTCTGTCATGGCCATCTTGACCCATCTTTGCAACAAGCACACGAGGCCTGCGCCCTTCGCGATCCATGAACTTGTTAACTCTGATTGGAAACACACGTTGCAGCACTAAGTCACTGAGATCCATTAAAAGCACTTCCACAAATAAAAACAAACAAACAAAAAACACTGTCTGCAACTGTAGCATAATTTCTGTACCTTAAATCAAAGAACTTCCAGGTCATGGTTGGTCTATGTAGTCTACATGCTACTTTTAACATATATGTTAAATGATTACTCATGAATTTCTTATATTTAGTACCCTTAACAGTATATACAAGAAAAACCCTCCACTATTTTTAGGCTCGGCAACAATACAAACACTGCAAAGAATTCCAAACAACTAAAGCATAAATCTCAGATTTTTAGTAACAAGCCATGACTTCAAAAGTACTCACATGGCACACAGGATAAAGAGATGGGTCCTGGACCTGTGCATTTACACATCATCATTCAACTGGGCACAAGGATGACTATGCACTCATTCCAGTGCCTCCCTTTTTCCTAGGTTAGTGGCAGTCCAGATTTCTGTTTGATTAAAGAACTGTATAACCACAGCCTCAGAAATCAATCTTTCATTTTACATCTTACTGTCAGTCAGAGTGCCAGTCTCCATCTTGTACTAGGACACTAAGATTACTCTCAGAAATACTACTAAAAGGGTTTTTTTTTATTTAAATATTGTACTTTTATGCATTCTATTAATGACAGACTGTATGGATGTGAAACCATCTGCTGACATGGCTGGGGCAGTCACCATAGGAATCCAGCGACTCTAGTACTCAAGCGACTCAAGTGACTCAAAATAAAGCACTTAATGACTAAGGCTTGAACAGCCCCAGGAGGTGATGTCAGGACAGGAAAAAGCTTCACAAAGTGGTGGTGAGGGAGACTTGGCCAGTTTAGAAAGGAATAGGTCAAGGGAGCTGGGAAACCAGAGAAAGACTGACAAAGCTTCTGCTTGAGGATCTAAGGCCAAAATAAGAATATGGGAACGCAAAATAATACAAAGAAGAGGATTTTAAGAAATCACATATGAAGTCAGATGCCTACTTCATTTATATCCTTAGCACCCCTTCTATTCTGCAGGCCAAGCTTCTTTAGAATTTTAGGAACATTAAGAGTGAAACTGCAGGGACAACTTATGGACTGAACAAAACCCCATTTTGAAAATATGAATTCCTGGAGTTATTTATAGAGATTATTATTACATAGCCTTTGAAAGAAGCAATGCAGTATATGAGAATTTCAGGCAAAGTTTCTCAAATTCTTAATCTTTAAGCTGACTGGTCTATTTGAAGAAAAACCTCAAAACATTAAACCACCTGGTGAATTTTGCTTATAAGCCAATAAAAGCTTTGACTGCCCTCTTATTGCACTGTACTCTTTTCATTCTGCTTACAGGCACGAGAATGTGTGTGCAATGCTTGTTTTGTTCTGCAATCATTTTTGGGATTGACTACTGCTAACTTGTACCCATGTCTCGGGGAACGCTTCAAGCACTATTACAAAAGCCAAATGGATTCAGTGTGACGCTGCGTTCAGTTTCTTTAGAAGTTATTCTTACCTATTGATGGCATAAAGAATTTCATCACTCTCTCCAAACTCCTGGCGATAAGCTCCACTCACCATCCGGTCACTAGCTTTATGCTCCCCAAACACCTTCTTCATTGCATCTGTTATTTCTCCAACGGTGCACCTAAAGTACAGAAGCAAATCATTAATGCTATCAGTATTATATAAAAACAGCAGATACAGTGGCCCAATTATTTGCCTTGCACCAGGAGCAGATTCAATCACACACAGCTCTCCTTCGGTTCTACAACTGTAAGCATCTGACTTTCTCTACTGTCATCCACTAATAGAACATTTAAGAGTATTTATTAAAAAATATAATAAAAATCTCACACATTTTTCTGATGTGAAAAGTAATGTTACAAAAGACAATGCAACTAAGGCTGTTTCACAGCAAAATGTTTCAGCAAATTAAATTTTAAATTCTGTCTCAATGCATGTAAAAATCTTGTGCTTATCTTTCTGCGAAAAATCTATCATGCAGATCTGTACCAAAAAGATGACAATGGAGTGTCAGTACTGCATAGTGACTGTGAAGGCACACTGCTGAGCTCTGTTTCAGCAAATTAAATTTTAAATTCTCTGCCTCAAAGCATGTAAAAATCTTCTACTTATCTTTCTGTGAAAAATCTATCATGCAGATCTGCTGAGCATCTCATGATATTTTTCATCAATATATTCAGCAAAATTATGTGTGAATGGGAAGAGAATAAGGAATGCACACATAAATACATACATACAAAGAAGTGAATACAATTTGTTACATACTCTGTCAAAGTGAAATGAAGAAAAATACTACCCTTATAACAGTTTGAAACCCCATCTAATCTGGTCACTGATAAATACATTTCATCAGGTGGAATTTACACTTTTTCTTGCCATTATAGCTAAATGTAAATTTAGGTACAAACTAGTCTTAGCCAAAACCAGATTAACTATCCTCCATGCTTTTAAAATAGGATAGTAATTGTTTTTTTGGACAAGTTACAACTTCTTGCCCACATGCTTTCAGAAAGAGATGGCCAGTGAATTGTACTCAAGACTGTACTCTCTGCCACACACACTCTCTGGAAGTGTATTTTGCAAGCTCTCTGCTTTTATCCATTTTTTTGTTTTGTTTCTCAGCATACTAAGGAATTCACATCTGGACTCATGAGGACCAGCGTCTAGAAGAGTAACTAATGTTAAATAGTAGCAAATGGACAGTATCTGTGCAGCTCTGTGTGAACATAACTTAGTCTGCCACTCTTTTCAGAATTATTTCAGTAATGCTTTAGATTTAGTCAGTATGAGTTATAAAGCAACTTGTCTGTGTTTGTCTCAGAATCTACTGATACCATTAAGTAATACTTCAATTTTGCAACACCTGTGGAATCTCAGAAAGTTTATCAAACACTACCTGAACCACAGTGAAGAGCCTTCACAGCAGTTTTCTTTTCAGAGCATCTAAATAATTGATTCTCTGGTGTTTAGCAGTCTCTCTAGTAGATTTTGAAGTGGAGAATAGAAGAATAGCTATATTCTCTGTTCTGTATTCTATTAATCTGTAGTCCTTAAAATTACTTTCCTTCATCCTGAAAACCCATCTTTTCCATTCAGTTAGAGGCAGGCGTTGGTCTCTAACATGCCAGTAGCACTGGCCTCCATCCACCCCTGTTAAGACTTGAAGTATCTTCACTTAAACATCTTTTATCCGGTGTTGTCCGTTACAGAAGAGCTCCCTGTAGACACTCACAGAACTCAAAAAACTCCTTCACTCTTTATCAGATATAATGATGATTTCCTCCTATGGTCATACCATAGGGGACACAGGCTACACAGTTCTACAGGCAGATGCAAGATTTTTATTTTGTATTTGCACCTTACTTACAAAAAGGAGTTGCAGTCCACTACTGCATTTACAAATATTAAAAAAAGGTCAGTGAGTAGAGAAACTGGAAGACACGAATCTCTGCTAGCATTATCCTCTAATGACCTGCACAGTTCAAAGACAAATGCTGACATACTGCTGAGAGTCCTGACAAGCTCTCTTTGGAAGCAAATGTATTAAATATGTGGCTATTAGTGTTGAACAAAGAGGAATGAAGGATTTTGAAAAAAAATCACAGTAAAAAATAAGACAGTACCTCAGTAAAGAATAGGTTCAGTTTGCTCATTTCAGGGCCACTGGATTAGAACAGTCTTAAATACCTTAGATAAAAAGAGTATGTGTTCTGCAAGACTCTAAAGGATGCCTCACTCTCCTTTTACATTTTAACATCTTTGCCTGACAAAGTGAGCTTATTTCTCCTGCAACCAAAAAATGTTTTCACACCAATTTGTGGTGCAGGGAAGGAGATGAAGCAGCAGACCAAGAGACTGTGTACATCCCTTTGCACATTTCAAACACTTTTAATCTCTCTGACCTACAAAACAGAAGGGTGGCAAATCAGGGAAATCTAGTTACATTCTGAAACTGGAAAAAGCTTGTGCTTTGTGATAACTCAATTATATCCATATGGGTTCTTAATAGTATCCATGCTGTTCTTAAAAAGATATTAAAGCATAGCTTTAAGAGACTGCAAACCATAACAGTCAAACTGCAACCACCTTTTACTTCCACCTCTGAATAGAAAGCCCAAATATCTTAACAGGTCAAACTTCAGAAGACTTCAAAACTGTTGAGAGATGAAAATGAACATTAAAAATTTAATAGAAGTTAGATATTTCAATCCCCCCGCCATACCTTGCACGTGCTGCATCCACTGCAACTGCCAGTAAGTTGCCTTCCCCAGTGGCAGCACACTGTGTTAGAGCATCAAGACACTGCTGGGCTGCTGCTTGGTCTCTACTAGCCTTCACCTTCAGTGGAGAGTAAACAAATTAAATCAAACAAGGTGAAGTCCAGCGTGTTCTGCTAAGATCTTCTGTTTTCAGATACTTATGTTGGAGACACTAATTCAACTATTGTCAACCTACACCTTATTTTTCAAAAAGGCTAAAATTAAAAAGGCTGCTCTGGTTGTAAAGCATGTGTACAAGTCCATTAAGTAACTCTAAAGCAATTTTCTCCACTTTTTTTTTTAACTAATTGTAAAACTCCATCTTGACTACTGATTGTAAACAGCATTTCTTAATAGTATCTGACAGACTGCACCAAGTAGTCTGAGTGTTGAAATGTTACACACTTTTAGAAAAAAAATTACAGTTATTTTCTATTTTCAGAAAATGTAAAGCTCTTGATTTGAAAGATCAGATATATTTCTGAGACATTCCAAATGCTCCAATGATTAAAACCAAATGAACATGCTGAAAACATTTTTGTTACAAATACAAAACATTTTTAGATTTTAATACTTTGTTTCTTTGAGGTCTCCATCAATCTATGCTAAAGCTGTTAAACAGAAATCCAGCTTCTCCACTAGGTTTTAGACTCGATCCTCCCAAATTTGAGAGTCATTTTTATTTGGCAAGCCACATTCCCCTAATATTTACTTTTGTACTCTCTGAAAGTATAAGGACTTTTACTTTTGGGAAGGTAAGTCCCACCTTATTAATCTTCTCAATCTGCTTGTTACGGACTGAAGTATTATCAATAGCCAGAACTTCAACTGTCTCCTCTTTTTCTAGCTGGTGCTTGTTTACTCCAACAATTACTTCAGAACCTATTTCCAACAGAAACACCAGAAACTAGAGTTGTAAACTGTTGTGAAAGAACACAATAATTATATCACAGGAAAATTTTGAGCTTTGCTTTAGAACAGCTTTGACATTTCAAATATTCAAAATTTGCTTTTTTCAGGAAGGATCTAGGCCTGTATTTTTCATTATAATTAAAGATGGTTAGATGTAAGAATATTCAGTTCAGTGAATACTGACATAGAAAACCAATTCAAAAAAGAATACTGCTTAGCTTACAAACTAATTTAGTAAGAATACACTAACATATATTACCTTCTAAAATTTGCATAGTTTAATCTTACAGAAATGAGCAGAGACACCCCTCTCTAGCACAGCACCAGATTTACTCTTCTGATTTACCAGAAGAATAAGAAAAGGAAGTTTCCATCTTAAACTATTCCTCATGAATAAAAATAAATTTATCATGTCGGAAAGTTGCAGTTTTCTGCCAATATGGATGCCAACGTGAAGTAATTCACCTTGGGAGAGGAGATACAGAGCTTTTTACAGAATACTGATTTTATTATTCTCTAATGGTCTTAACACCTGCTTCAAACTTATCTTCCAAATGAAAAAGCTTATATATCTCTTTTTATGTTAGAGTTATTTCTGGTTTCTGCTACTGGAACACAAACTATAAAACGTAGAATACGCACACACAGGGATATATATATATACATACATACATATATACAAACAGTGCATGAAGAACTGTATGCCCTCTGATTTGAGATAACTGCAGTTTTCTGGTCTTCAGTAAAAATAAGAATTTCTCAAGCAAAAACAGAATTCTGGCCATATATATTCGATACTGCCATCTGCTGGTGGCCACATTTTTATATTCAGAAGACATAATTCACAATTTAAAGATAATTTTTCTACAGCTTTATCTAGTCTAGTTTTAAATTTGTCAAGCAAGACTGTTTTCATTCATTTTTCTTGACAGACTCCCATGCACTGATATTTACTTGAGAATCTTTCACTGTTATTCAACTGAAATCCTTCTGTTCCACTAGTAACAATCTGTTAAACTTAATCAAAGAAGTGAAAAGAAATGAAAATGTGTGTGTGCAAAAAAACTCTTAAACGGAATTCTTCATTTCTTACATCTTCCTGCTCCCTACCAGAGTCAATCCTGGCTTGTCTCCGAGCTGCACACTCTTCAATCCGAAGTTTGGGGATTCCTTCAGCTACAGCTTTGGCCATTCCACCCATTTCTTCAATCTCCTCAATGAGCTGAGAAATTAAAAGAATGGAAAAAATATGTAGTAAAAAGTTTCAGAAATCTAGCTTTTCTTCTTCTGTTCTTCTGCTATTAAAAATTTGGATACACAATTACAGCCCCTTCCTCACCAAAACAGTTTGACTGTATTGCAATTACCTACTGAAAATGGTCCTCAGAGCATGCCTAGGTCCTGTCTAGAAACGTTTTAGTTGACATGGACTAAAACCACAGGGTGATAATACAGCAGTGTGTACAGTCCCAGGTTAGAGTTTAAATCTATTTTAGTTAATTTACAGGCTTAGAGACTTTTCATAAAAGCAGTAATTTGCTCAAAAGGAGAATCACTAAAAGATTTAGCTTCACAGCCTAATCTTGCAGATATATAGGTAGATAAATTTCTTTGGGATTGCCCCAGACCACTCCTGTGCAGAAAGAAACAAAAACCCTGGGTTCTACATAACGAGCCCATCATATGTATGGCCAGACAGCTGCCTGCCTACATGCTCAGTTATAAAATTTTGCAGTTAAGAACTAGTTTTAAGGTTTTGAGCAGAATACCACAGACATGCATCTAGTAGACTGGTTTGACTTCTTCTATAGAATCTTTGTTTTTATGGACAAACTACAGAGATACAAGAAAATGAGGAAATGAGGAATCCCCAAAGCACATGAGAAGTTGACAGATTCTGATTATTTGTTCCAAATGGAAATATTTCCTTTCTAAACATAACCTGCTGAAAGGTTGAAGTCCATATAGATACACACACACAAACACACGCATATAGTGTATTTTTATCAGGTTCACTTACAAAAAAGTAATAGAGCAGGACTGTAAAAGAATTCCTTCACAGCAAGCTACTAATATACCAAATAACCCCTAAAAAGACATTTCTGAAATAAAACGTGATGCTCCTAAACCAGATTATAACAAATAAATAAATAAAACAAAAAACATGCAGTCTGACCTTTAAAGCAGCTTCATAGACATCATTGGTGAGGCACTCCATGAGGTAAGATCCCCCCCAAGGGTCTGCCACTTTAGGAATACCTGATTCCTCTTGTATTATGATCTGCGTGTTCCGAGCAATGCGAGCGCTCTTCACTGTAGGCAAACCCAAGGCTTCATCGAATGAATTTGTGTGCAAGGACTGTGTACCTCCAAACACCGCAGCCATTGCTTCGATTGCAGTACGAATAATATTGTTGAAGGGATCCTGGAAGGAAAAGGAGAGAATTAAAGCATAAACGTCCTGCCAAGTGCCTGAGGCATATTACAGCTTAAGAAGGAATGGTTAGTCTGAAGAACTTCCATCCCGGAATTCCAAAAGTCTTGGACCTATGAAAAGCATATCTGGCAGGTAGGTTACTAGTCAAGATCCTCAAGATCTGTTTTGGAACAAAACTTATTTAATATTTTCATTAATAACAGCATTACAAAAGATAGGAGTTAGTGCTGAAACTTCATGATGCTGTAAAATTGAAAGACATCAACAGGAGAACTGGGATATTAACCAAAACAATTTAACAGAATATAATTTAGCCTTTTGACCAAGATTTTTCTCAGCTCATTTTAGACATCTTGACAGTCAAGATTTATTTATCTGTCCTTATAGTCAAAGAATAGTTATGATGATCTCCGGCGAGGGGACTCGTATGCTAAAACAGGGTAAAGAATCACCTGCTGCATATGTCTGTTATTGTTAATTATTTTAACTCACACAGCTGTTCTAATCTGAGAACCCATAAAGGCCACTGTTAAAGTCAGTTAGTTTTACTGCATTCCTGTGACAGAAATATTGTATATTGCATTTAAGGAAAAAAAATAAAATAAAACCAAGACAAGGAAGTTAAATAACAATGTTCGCAATCAGAATAGAATCTAAACATAAGACTTACCACATGACCTTGTTTGGGAAGCAGTCCTCACAATAAGAACTGAAATCCAGTTCTGATGTCATTTAAGTAACTATATATGCAGTACCCAGAGTTATTTTCTTGTTGTAAAGTAGCATAACTCAAAAGAAATAGCAGAAAGAGTACCCATTTTCAGAAGAGCTGAGGAGCTGTAACCAGCACTGGTCTCTCAAGCAACTAGAGACAGGGGTGTAAATGACTGCCTTGACAACCAGAATGAATTTTCAACAAAGTGAGTTTGAGACAAGGGTGCTGCTAACTGCTCCATTTGGCCACATTCTTAAAGGATAACTATTTTAATCAATCCATGAGAGAGCTTAATCAGTCATTCCTGCATTAATATAAGCACCTCTCTGCATTTACCTATCCACTCAACTGTTTGGGATCATATTTTCATTTCAGTATCTTAGAATAGGAGCACAGATGCTTAAGACAGTGAGCCCAATATGAAAATGAAACGAGACTGTGAAAAGTTAGGCAGCACTGAGACTCTGGATATCACCACATCTAAATTATTTTGTGATTATAATCTAAAGCCTTTAATTTCAATGCTTTTAATTGAGCAATTTAGGGTAGCCCAAAATATTGAAGTGTTCCCAAAGAAGCAATTTGGAAAGCAACACTGCTGGTGTTCAACAGCCTTCCTTTTTTTGTAATCAAAAAGATGGATCAAATATTAGCGTGTGCACCTGTCAAAATAAAATAAGTTGTCTCATTTAGAAAGCTGCATCTTTGCTAGTAAAAGCAGCAACACCTTTTAGATACATGAAGCTTGAGGACTTATATAAATCATGTACATTATAAATCAGAAATTGAAGACCAATTTCTAACCTGCTCAGTGAGTGACCAGCCTGAAGTCTGACAATGAGCTCTCAGAAGAAGAGACTTGGGATCCTTGGGCTTAAACATTTTCTCTATTAGATGAGCCCACAGCCGCCTCCCAGCTCTTAGCTTAGCTATTTCCATATAGAAGTTCATGCCAATTCCCCAGAAGAAAGAAAGTCTGAAATGAGAGCACATGGACAGGATAAAATACTAAACAATTCTAATAATTCTATTTAAGTAATGGAAAAGTCATGTGGCAAGTTGATTTATTTTAAATATATAACTCTTATATAAGATGATGGGAATGATCTCAGACACTGATGCCACTTGTAATGGAATGGCACAGATCCACACTAATAAATGTAGTCTCCAAACAGGATGAGTGCAGGCCAATAGCAGTAGCAATGGTGTCAATATAATTGTTAAAGTGTCTTCAGCAAATGTCACTGGCACAGGTCACTAATACAGACAATCAGCATCCACTAGAATAGGAGCACTACTCTAGTGCCAGGGAAAGCTCCCAGGTACAATTTACTGCAGTGTGTAAGGTTCATGAGCTAATTAGAATAAGAAAATGTTGCAAGCGTGCATTGATCCTTCTCCTGAAGATTTTAACTAAAACCCAAATCAAGTAACAGTTCCAAACTGGACCATATAACAAGAAACAGTGATGAACTACTTTTCCCCATTTATACTTTCTTTGACCTATGAAAGTAAATATGTACAGTTAAAACAAGTACTACTCTTTATAGAAAAGCACACTTTTTAACAGTCAATTTGTTACCAAAACAATCTGCTAAGGCTCTCTATATTTCCTGGTGAGAAAGAATCTATGAAATAAAGCTTTTTCTTTTTCTGTAAATCCAATTTCAGTGTTGTTACAAATCTTGGAAACAGGGGTTAATTCACCTGATTTGGACAGCCTGTTGCAGAGTCAAGCTATATATGATGCACGCTGGCCAAAAAGAAAGAGACTTTTTAGGAAACTTCTAACCTGCAAATGCTGTAAATGCTCAATTACCTGAACTTTTCTTTGATAAGTAGATTTTTTTCCAAATAAATCAAAATAGTGTTAGTGATCAGAAGATTCAATGATACTTTAGCATAAAACAACAACCAGAGCTCTTGACGGATTCTGAAATCTGCACTAGATGTCATATAAAGACTATGGGTCTTTCTGGCCCCAAGACCAATTGTCACAACAGACCTTGGCAATGTTTGGGCTTCTGAATAAGCTTTATTCAGTTTATTAGCATAGATGTAAATTACGTGTCTACTGAACCACACATATTTTCACACTGCTGAAATTGCATAACAAACAAACAAAAAAAGATCCACCTGCAATATGGGCATTGATAATGTTACTTGTGCAGAAATACTGAAGTACATTTCAAGTTCTAGAGGTTTTATTCACCCTTCTGGAGTGAGTTTTGCATTTGCAGATCTGTTTTTCTCACCTTGGTGCAAATTCATCAATGGTAAGGCCCGCTTTAAGTCCAGTTCTGCAGTATTCCAAGCCATCAGCTATAGTATAAGCTAATTCCAGAATGGCATCAGCTCCTGCCTCTTGCATATGGTATCCACTAATTGAAATTGAATTAAATTTTGGCATATGCTGCAAAAATAAAAAACAACAGTGTATTACAGCAGAAAGGAGGAAACTGTACTATCAGTGTTCACAAATAGTCCATTCCTTGTAAAACACCATTAAAATATATCTCCATTAGGCTGTGTTTGCGGGCGTGAATTTCACTTCAGAGTAGTATTTCCCTCTCGATATAGTAAATATGCTTTTTTTTTTTTTTCCATTATTCATTGTGTTTATACTATCATTCACCATGATAAGCCTCTTTCTCTTTTGACTTGATTACAGGCTGTGTTCCATCTCTCCAAAGAAATTGCAAATAAGAAAATATTTGGTACCATCAAACTTTCTTCCTTTCTTATCTCCTTCTTGTGCTCCATTTCATAGCTGAAGTCCCCAGATGTCTTATCTTTTTGCTCCAACTTATAGCTGCGCTGTACTTCTTAACCATGTGATTTCTTTTATCACTTTTTGTGTAAAATACCTCTACTCCTTGCCTACAAGCTTCCTGACTTCCTTTCAGGCTTAGCCTTATCTTAAGAGTTGAGGTTGCCTTAATAACCCTAGAGAGCACACTTCAAGTGATTTGGGATCTTAACTTCTCCTCCCTCCTCTTTCCACGACCATTTCATCTTCACTATGAGAAGTCTCTCTCTCTTCTGCCTTGTTCTACAAAGAGCTCTGCCAAACACAGTTAACTTGATAGAACAGAAGTAATTAGACTTCAACAATACCTTTGAGGTATACTGAAAAATGTCAGCAATAATCCGCATTGATGGTTCTGGGGGGAAAATATATGTATTTCGGACCATGAACTCCTTCAATATGTCATTTTGGATTGTCCCTGTCAGTTTGGCTTGGGGCACTCCCTGCTCTTCTCCAGTTACAATGAATGTTGCCAGCACAGGAATCACTGCCCCATTCATAGTCATAGAAACGGACATTTTCTCCAAAGGTATTCCATCAAAAAGGATTTTGGTGTCCTCCACGGTATCAATGGCAACTCCAGCCATTCCAACATCCCCTCGAACTCGTGGATTGTCTGAATCATAACCACGATGGGTGGCTAGATCAAAAGCAACTGATAATCCCTGCTGGCCAGCTGGAAAAAAACAGACAAAAAGAGAGAGATTGATTCCAAAGTGTTAAACAGGTTTGCTTTAAGAAAAGGGTTATTTTTATTTCAAATCACCTAGGCTTGGCTGATAAAACATTTTTGACGTTGAAGACAGCTCCCTCCCGAAACTTGCCCAAAGTTTTCTAACCTATGCAGAACTTAAGCTTTAAATGAAAAAGTTTTTAACTAAGAAAAAAGATGTGGTCTGTTGACCTGAACCACACAATCAAAACATGGTTATTAAATCAGTGAGTAGCTGCTCATCCAATAAGTTAAATGTGGATACATGGACAGTATTGTGGCTCACATACACTAACTGTACTTGGCTTAGCTGGAGACAAGTGCAAATCATATTATCTCATCTTTATTGCAGTTTAAACACAAGCAAACACACTGATACCCTGCTCGCTGCTCACATATGTTGTTTATTCCTAATGTGAAGTGCTGCATTACTAAAATCTGCACTAAGTTATTCATATAAAGCAGTGAACTAGGCAGTTCAAGCTCTGTCAGACTTGTTTCAGCAACGTAAAAACAGTATTTGAAACCTCACTAAATACAGTCACTGGTGTTGCTGCTTCTGAAGAAAAACTCTATCTACTACTTTGGCAACTCAGCATCAGCAGAACTCTTGTCAGATACCAGCTACTCTTGTTGGTCTAAAAAGCTACATGTTAGCTTTGAAGTACAGTGACAGCAGTTTAAATTTTTATTGATTTCATAGCTTGGCCCACTGATAGGAATTCAGTGATTCTGTGGATGGATAATGAAATCTTCTCCAGCATTCCTCTAATTGCAGAGTGATTAAATGATTTAAATTGCTTTACGAACAACTAGGCCAAATTCACATAGTAACATAGTACAAGCATAAGTTTTTCTGTTAAAATATTTGTTTGCAGATCTTTAATGTTCTATATTTGTGATTTGTTAATTTACTGAGGTTTTAATAAATGGATGGAATCAAAAAGACATACTTGCAAGAATATGATGGCAGTCAATATTAGTCTGCTTCATCCTAGCAAACACTGGTAAGGAAACCAGCGCTTCCTGCCATCCGAGAATTGACATTTTGAGCAGGAACATCAATAAATGGGGATAAAAAAACTTCTCAGAGTTTTTCCCAGAATGCAAATTTTAGACTGGCAAGGTTATAATTAGCTACTCTTCAAAGGTACTAGGTGCAAACCAATGGCTGTTGCAAAACGAATGCTGCATTCTGTCGAGATCAGACCACTTTTTAGCAGTGGCTTTGATAATATACTATTCATGTCTGAATAGTATATTATGATGATACTTTAGCTATTATCCAAAAGAACTGCTATAAAGCACAATACTCTGCAGAAATACTGTTCTCAAGGAAATTATCAAACTTTAGGGACGTAGTTTTACTAATACCCTACTCATATACTATCATATGAATACATTTAAAACTAACAATACGAGAGGAAAACAAAATGTCAGAATGCACTATCAGAAGTTTAACCAAGTGACAAAGTTCAGCAGATTTTTCCACTGCAAACCTCTCTCATGATCACAAAACGAGACTAAAGTGCTCCACACTCTGCTGGCTGGACCCTGGGATGATGCCAAATTTTGTCTCTGTCGTTGTCAAAGCAGAATATCTAAAAATAGCACATAACAGACATTTTTCCATCTCAACGGCAAAATCAAACCAGGATAGTCAGAGAAACGATCTAAAAAAGTGCAACCGAAAAGAAGCTAGCAGAAGTCAATCTTGGAAGGCTGAATGATCACATTCATTATATAGTTCCCCATGTGGTCGCTCTCTGTTGCTTTGCCAGAGCATGTCCTCTACCAAACAACCTGTCTTACCTTTAATGTTGTCCTTGTAGAACTTGTTGCTCTCCTCCACGGTGCTGAAGCCAGCATACTGGCGGATGGTCCACGGCCTGTACGTGTACATGGTTGGGTAGGGTCCTCGTGTGAAAGGCTTCACCCCCGGCAGCTCCTCAGGAAGGTTCTCCGTGTCCCTCTTGGAATACAAGGGCTTGATGTCGATGCCTTCGGGGGTGCGCCAGATTAAATCCTTCGGGTTCTTGCCTTTCAGCTGCTTCTCAGCAAGGGCTGCCCACTCGGGGTGCAGAGGCTGCCGGTGCAGCGAGCGCCGGGCCAGGCGGGAGGCTGGAAGTTGTGCCAGGCACGGGCAGCAGCAGGGTCGGAGGTGCCGGAGGGCATCCTGGGCTCTTAGCATGCCTGCCCCAGCAGGTTGGCAATGAGAGATAAGCTGAAGGAATTAAAAATGCAGAACGCTGTGTTTTGCACTGCTATATAAATCCAAGGCGAGGAGAGTGTGAGAGGTCAACTTGCTCAAGTCAAGCCAATTACTCAGGAGAAGACAGAAGTGAATTTATTTACTTCATAGAAAATCTCTAATCAGACCACGCATAAAGCAGAAGTAAAACAGAGAAAACATCCCCCCCCGCCCAACTTCTCTAGCTCACCTGAGATGTACACATAACTTATGGCAGCCCCTAACTTGGTACCATCACTATTAACCAGGCAGTGCAAACCTAGTATAGCATAGCGAGGCCAATAACTCTCCCACCCCCTTCTCCCTCAATCTCCTAAGGGCTCCCTTAATAATACGCACTGCTGATTTTGTCCTACCAGGCACCACAGAGGCAGGAGGGGAGCAACAGGGAAAGCCAAGCTGCTGCTCCCCAGCCCTACACTTCCTCCCAAGCGGTACAGCCAGAAACTCTGCGATAGCGTTTTAATACCATAAATGTTACAGAAAATACATACATGAAGCACTACGAGGTCCCCAAATGCAGCCACCCCCCCTCCAACCCCTACCTGCCCCCAGCCCCTCAGCAGGGCC